TTAATTTCTATGGATTTTCTCTCTCTTAAATTTATAAGAAAATATTTTTTCTTCTAATTTTGTAACCTTTCACCGTATAATTTTTAAATGTTATAGACTTAATCATTCTGAATAATTTAATATAATTTTATTCTATTTTCACCAGTTAAATATATGTTTAGAAAATTTTAAATAAAATGAGTGGAATAAGGGTATATTGAAAATGGGCTAAAAGTGATGTATTGTGATTTGATTTGAAAATATTTAAATGTGATATGAACTTAAATGATTGATGTGAATGAATATGAGCATGTGACTGGGAGAGTGGTATCAAAGACATATACCACCTAATGAGAACTAACTGTCTTATAAGATAAAGTGCTACACTAGGGGAGTCACCTCTTGAGCCATATTGGGCATAAAGTGCTACGTGGCATGAGACACCACTTGAACTTGTTGGAGTCAGCTCTAGAATCTTATCTATCTCGTGGATGATTTTGATATTGATTCTGATTACTAATGGGAATCATAAGGAGCTAAAGACTGATTGAGAATTATGAGTAGTTGGGGCATCTGTCATGTGATTCACTGAAGGGGGTATAAAGATTTTACCTATAGGGGTTATAAGGGGTGATAGATTGGGAGTCATAAATGCAGGAGCAAGATCAATATACTCTTATCTTAATATCTAATAGAAAATAAATTATTGATTATTGATATTAATTACTGTTACTACTTATCGTTATTAAATATGGATAATGATACTATTGTATACTGATAAATTAATGAGAATCATTGAATAATTTGATCGAATGAAATTGATTGAATGATGAAGACATATTGATTGATTTATTTATTGATAGAACAAGATGTGATGTGTGATAGAATGATTGATTGATTGACGGGTGTTTGATAAATATAACATATATTAATTTATAGATTTTCTTATACGATTTACAACATATTATTTTTTCTTTATTTTGCATTGATTTCAGTTGTAAAATTTTAATTATTTACCATATTTTTCTACTCATTTTGTTTTATATAATTTTAGATAAAAATGTTAGGAATATCAAACGTAACCTATTTCCTATAATGGCTTTTTAGACCCCCTCCGCCTAGCACCTAGGAGGACCCAAGATTTTTTAAAATTGGCTAATATAATTTAAACTTTAATTAACACTACCCTAAGCATTAAAAATGGATTAATAAACTAAATTAACTAAAATGGATCCTAATTTACTAATATTTGAACTTTAAATAAAGTTTCATTTTCAGCCTTTAACAAATTCTAATCTTAGGCAACTTGAACTAATCATCTTACATAGGATCTATCCAAAAACATACAAGCCTTACACACATAAAATTGTTTGCTAGGGCACCACTTCTAAACTTGTGCTAGGCTGGTGTTTACTTTTCTGTTGTATCCTAGGTTTTTCTGAGGTTTTATTACATGTTGTGAATGAAATTATTATGTTTGCTTACTTTTACTGTACTATAGGAATTGATGTGATTGTGCGTTAGATTTACCCCTATGTTAGGATCAATATTTTTATGCTAATGATGTTTGCTACATGTGGTCATACTCATGCAGTGCTAAATAAAAGGGGGGCAATTGTCATGATTTATATTAATAATATCTTGTACAGGTGCTTCAAAATTTGCTCAGCCCCCCTAAATAAATGAGGGTTATGAATTATTAATAATAACTACTATAGGTGCTCCATAGATAGCTTAGCCCTCATAAGTAATTAAGAGCATGGCCAAGTGTGTGGCTGTGATGTGTACTTATATATATATATATAATCTGCTTGAGATTATAAACTACTTGGGAATTTTATTAGGAAAACCTTAAAGGAGAGTCTAGAATTTATTGCTTTCAATTAATATAATTATTTGTAATATTGGTAACAGTTGTGAAAATGACATTTGAGTTGAGATATCGTTATCCAACTCGAATTTCAAAAGAAGAAGGCATCCTCAAAGGGGAGAGCCTTCTTCTATTTAGAAGATCCAGTTTGGATGGCTTTAGATATCCAAATAAAAAAGACAATATGCTTCTAGGGAGGGTTGTCTCTTCATTTGGATATTCAAGCCACGATGAATCCACGGAGTCCAAGGAGGAGAGATCCAAGGAGTCAAAGGAGGAGAAATCCAAGAAGAGAAGACTGAAGATCTGAAGAACCAATATCCCACTCAAAGTCATTTGCGTCAGTCCTAGGCTTAGAAATTCGCATTGTTAGTAGTGGTGTCAGGCCACTTTACTTTCTACAAATCCTGGGTTGTAATTAAGGGTAGTTGGCCTATGGACATTTATTAATTGGTTTGATTATTTTTTATGTGTTTTATTTATAAATGTTTGCCTCTAGGGTTGCCTAATTTTTTTAGTTTATTAGCGATTTACATGTCGTTTTTATTTTAGCCTAGATCTCGTTAGGCTTTATAAAGACTAAAAATTCTTTCTAATTATAACTAATCTTTAAAATTTTAAGAATTAAATAATTTACCTAGAGAACTGCCAGAATCGTTCAGGGTCGCATGCATATTATTGCATCTCTCTTTCTCCTTCTATGAGACACTTCCCCGCCTGCGGGTAGAGTTTGGATAATCTGGCCTATGAGGATGAGGTGTCGGACATAAGGAAGTCTAGTCTTCTTCTAAAAAATTATTTTATAATAAGCCTATTTTTAAAGTCTTATGCATACATGATTTGGATACTTCAACTAGCATGCATTGCATTAAAAACTAATTAAAATAAAATTTTAATTGCATTAGCTCTAGGAGCATTCACCCAACATAAGTACATGGCCACTTAAGAACACTGTAGATGTCGGCCTTAATTTCCAAAAACTAAACCACCCACTTATCTTTCATAAATGACCAAATATCATGATTTTGAATCGATTAGGTGGTTAGCTGGCTCCCCAATCTAGGCCGGGGTACGTCCAAGTTTTGCACTACATTAGTTAGGACACAGGTGTTAGTATTGTGTAGAACACTAAGCCCAATTTACATTTAGAATTCAAGGTTACTACATTCTCTCACATAGTATACCTAAATAGTGGGTGAGTCCCTTCTATTTAGGGACTATAAATCCTACTTATACTCGTCACATGGATGATGCCACTTCCATCTTTCTCTCACGCATATGTCGAGTGCTTGATTTATTTTCTCCAATTTCTTCTCACTACCTTAGTCCCTCCGGATGTTAGTATGAGCCGTGTATGTTGACTAAGCCCTTTGAACCCTTTCTTTCCATTTAAATATGACTTCCTAGTCTTAGCCCTATGTGCAAATCCCATTTTGGAAAGAATAATATATGATCCTTAATCGAGAGTCTTCTTGGGTTCTGGCCTGAGATATAGTTAACCATGGGGGCTTGCGCCCGTGGTAAATTGAATTCCACCATCTATTAAACCCCACTCGAGCTGATGTATTGGATGGGGAAACCCGTGATTTTGATCAGGTCGCGTATATTACTACCCATCGGGGTGTGCTGGCCAGAGTCGCTATCCTCAATAGTTAATCGTATGCACGATCTAATCTGCCCTTCTATCGATCCGTTTGCGAGGAACACGGAGGCCTGCGATTATCTCTATCCCTCGGGGTAGGTGCGGTCGTATACCCATCTGCAATCCTGCAGCCATAACGGTGTGTTTTCGGAGGTCCACAAGCACTAAATGTTCTATTTTGGCCTCATCTGCATAGTGTATATATGAGAGGTATTTTGGTCCCACTCGTTGAAGGAGGGTTTGAGACATTACACAATATTGCATGTACTCTTCTAGTCCCAACTTCCTAGTGCAAATGCGGGTGGGATTATTGACCCAACTTGCTATATGCAAGTGTGAGAGATAAAAATAGAGGTATTAGCAGAAGTGGAGTTATAAGCAATCATCGGGACATGCACATCATAATAATCATTACATTGCATTTGTATCAATAAAATAAGTATAAACAATAATATGAAAATGAATATTGAAAATTTTAAAACTTTGACTAAACTCCGATCAAATATGAAAGTCAAGTGCAAGTGAATCTCTAAAAATAAGTATTATGTAAAGTAGTTGAAAATTTCTATAAGATGGCTTTACAAATAAGTAAAAGCTTCAATTATGCACTGAAACCTCTAAAAAATTATGTTTTATGATTTTACTAGTGCTTAGTTTATTATTTATTCCATTTTTATTATATTGTAATTTATTTTTTTAATTTGGATATTGATATTTGTGATGGGTGAGGATAATAAGTTTATTGAGCTAGTTGTGCTCATTACATTTTCGAATATTTCAGAAAAGGTAAAGGTCCAACAAAGTATATTAGGTGCAGTGGCAAGATCTTTGGGATATGGTTAGCAAGGTATTAATCTTCATTATCCAATTTTACTTTTTGATGTATAGACATTCATGATCTAAATTATTATAATTATATTTTGATAAAATGAAATTTGGTTGCACTACTTTTATGATCAGAAATATTAGTAACTCTAATTATTATTATTATTATTATTATTATTATTATTGATGTTTGAGATCAAATCATAATTTTAAATAAATCAATCATTCCATTAAACCCTAGGAAGTCACATAACACCTTTGAATATCATTCCTCTCTAATCTAAATCAAACATAGAAGTTAAATTGATATTTTATTAAAGCAATGGTTACCCTTATGATTAGCCTAAAAAAATTCAATCTCAATATTCTCATCTTCATAATTTTTTTTAATATTTATATACATGTAACATAATATATATATATATATAATAACAATAATTTAGTTGCATGTATTGTATAACATTTTTCAAAGCATGATAATAATGTTTAATAAAGGCTCAACAAATAATTTTATTCTTCTAACATTAAAGGACTTGTGACACATTAGTTAAATGAGATGATTTTTAACCCTAAAATTATAAAGTAGAGTCAAATTACTTTATTATCACACATTATTATAAAAAACATAGAATATTTGCACAAAACTCCTCCAAAAACAACCCATTACAAAAACAAGCAAGAAATTTCATATTTGCCCCCTTTCCACTCCTTTGGCGCTTGAGAGGTTTCTAAAATGATTACTAGTAAGTCGCCACCGCCGTCCCCGTCCCCGCCGGTCGATCCACAAAAGCTCCTCTCATCCCCGCTCCACCAACACTGCCAGCGCGATTACCTATTCTCCCTCCCTTCTTCCTCCCCTCCTTATCTCTATCCTTCCCGACTCCAATCCTCCCCTTCCCCAACTTCTCCTTCCCCGGCCTCTCCACCACTTGCGCCGCCCCCACCGGCGTCGGAACCACCGGCACCATCGCATCTGACGCTCCACCCTGCGACAATATCCTCACAATCCCTGCATACCCTAAGGACGACGCGATCTCCATCGCCGTCCTCCCCTTCCCTGTTCTCATCTCCGTATCCGCTCCTCTCTTCACCAACACCTCCACCGCCTCCGCTTGGCCTGCTTCTACCGCACAGTGTAGCGCTGTGTACCCTTCTTCATCCTTCGCATCCACCGCCGCCCCTTTATCAATCAAAACCTTCATTACCTCCACCCTCCCTTTAAACCCCGCCCTCATCAATGCTGTCCAGCCCCATCCATCTCTCCCATCCACTGCCGCCCCCATCTCAATCGCCCTCACAGCATTCCCCCCTTCCCCTTTCCTCGCCGCCGCCGCCAATCCTTCGCCGAGCCTCAACAACCCTAATAGCCTCGCATGCCCTTCCTCTGCTGCCAGATCATATGCCGTCTTCCCCGCCGAGTTCCTGGCCTCTTTCAACCCTGCACAACCCTTCTCAATTAGAATCCTCGCAGTCGCCTCGTCCCCCATCGCTGCCGCCACGTGCAGCGCCGTGCTCCCCGTCGCTCCGCCGCGCGCATCTCCAGACGCGCCTGCGGCCAGCAACGCCGCCACGCAATCTCGACGACGTTCCTCGGCCGCGAGGTGCAGCGGTGTTCGCCCGTCCGCGGCCACCACGTCCACTGCCGCGCCTTTCAGAAGCAGAATCTGGAGAACCTCCAAATGCCCTCCTACGGCCGCATGGTGCAATGGCGACCAAGAAGATCGAGATGAGCTCCGAGTGGAGGCCCCCCGCGCGAGGAGAAGCTCCGCGATCAGGGCTTCGCCGATAGCAGCGGCAGATTCGAGCGGCGATCGGCCTGCGCGGCTGCGGCATTCGACGTTGGCGCCGAATTCGAGGATCAGCTGGACCAAATCAGCGCGGCTGCGGGCAATGGCGAGGTGGAGGAGTGTTTGCCCTTGGGCGTCGGTTGAATCAGCCGAATGCCACTCAGGATCGCTGGCTTCAAGAACCTCGCGAACTTTCTCCATGTCTCCATCGGCAACAAGACGAGAAAGAATGGCAGATCCGACGAAGAAGACACGGAGAGCGGAATCGGAGAAAACCTGCTTCTTCTTCGCGGTGAACCAGTCGGCGGGAACGGATTCAAGCGAGGAGAATGCGGCTCCATCCTTAACAGAAGCACCGGGAGCGACGACGGAGTCGAGGAAGAAGGTATCGTCGGAGTGCGGCGCGGATTCCGGGAGTATCGGAGCCGGGGGCTGCGGCGGCAGGTATGTGATCTCCACCGTAAGCGTCGCGAGCGGGGCGATGATTCCGGTTTGGGGTCGTATAGCGAACCGGGTTCGGTTCAGTGGCAGGAGCCGGAACGCCACGGGCATGGTGTACATCACGTTGCGTAGAGTCAGTGAGCCGTAGCATCGCAGGCCCGGTTCGACACGGACCACCACTCGGTTCGACGGTTCGAGTCTAAGTAGCCTATCCATTCCTTCGCGCTTTTGGAGTTTCTAGTTATCAGAGGAGATAACCCATTAGAGTTGGGGAGAAGGCGAATGGGTGATTTAATAGGCTCGGAAATATGGAAGGCCGGCTAGAAAGAAGAATATTGAGAATTAGTATGCAGACTTATTCGTTAACGCGTTCATCATTTGAAAATCTTCTATTTGATAGGGAGTTTTTTTTTTTTATATAAATTTTTTCTTTTATATTTACGAAGATTTACAAAAGTACTACTGAATTTTTATGTGTTTATTTATTTAATATTTAATTTTTATATTTCTTTATTTAATAATTTAATATATAATTTATATTTTGCAATATTTTATTTAATCGATGTTTTTAAATTCGTATTTATTTTATTCAATTCTTTTAATTGTAGTTTAGGGATGTACAAATTCCTTATAAAAATAAAATTAAACTTTTAAATATTGAGATATATTTTAGCGTAACGGTTAAAATTTCAGTAGAAATTTAAAAATTAAGCATTAAGATGAGCAGAAATTATTTCGTGCAGAGTCCGAACGGTTACAAATTTATATAATGTGTATTCAATTTTTATATATATTGCGTACACTCACAATTCAAACGATTCTTTTCATCTGGACTCCGCACATAATAATTTCTTTAAGATTAGTGATCCCCTAAAGTTACACCGAGAGAAAAAAATTGTGAGACCATAAGTCAAAACAGGCAATATATCAATAATTGAAAATTTGGGTTGTTAATATGTAATTTATTAAATTAAGGGTAGAATTATTCGTCTTATTTGTTGTTATACATTAATAACGTTGACTTCAAATTTTTATTTTTTGCTAAATTTTTAATTAAAAATTATTATTATATTATATTTATTAGGTGCATTAAAAGTTGATAGATCTGAAATTCGACCCGGAGACGGCCAGAAACAGTTCGGATTCGGGTCAACCTATTTGTGAAACTAGGCAGGTTTGGGTTCGAATTTCTAACCCTTTAGAATAACGGGTCACGTTCGGGTTGACTCATTGTACCCAACTAACCAGCGACCTCGCATCTATGCCATCTAGCCCAGTTGCCTCGCCACCGACGCTAAAGACCGCACGGTTGACAGCTTGACGCTCGACCCCGCATGCCCGCCTCCTCCAGTCCTCCTTCCTGCTGTAGGACCCGCGCGAGTCGTCATGAACGCAAGTCACCAGTCGCCCACTACCTACAGAAGCAGAACTCGTCGGCACTGCCAGTCGGCCTAGCACCCTGACCTCACCCATAGCCTAATGGTTCGGCCTTGCTCCGCCTCACCCGTTGCATTCACGACTTCGTGGTTTGCCCAAGCCCTACTCAATAGAGGGTCGGGTGGGGTTAACCTGAGGTTCGGGTTGTAAATCTTGACCAATTTAGCTAAATGGGGTCATGTTCGAGTCAACCTGTTTATACCCGGGTCAGCTCGGGTTGGACTCGAACCCGACCCATTGACCCGAATTGACACCCATAATATTTATTATATTGGTAATATTTGTAATTTATGCCAAGGGGAAATTTAATTTGATTTTTGTTCTTCAGGTTGTCTATGTTTAAAATAATGAAAGAAATTCAGGTTGGAAATTAAGAAGGTCAACCGCAGGCTATGGTGCTATTTGATTAGTGGTTTTGGTGTTTATCAAACAATGTGCTTTTCTTGTTTATCTGGCTATTACCAAGGTATTGAATCAAAAGAATGAAATATTCAAGATTTAAAAATTCAAGTTCAATTTATGGTTTCATTGGGGTAGATGAATTTAGTTGTAAAGCTGTTGTGCCTTAAAAGCTTTTCGTTCTCAATTGAAATATAAAATGTCTAACGTTAGTGAGCATTGATATATCATTGAAATTTTATCTTGATTGGGCACAAATCTTGAGGTAAAATTAAATTAAAAACTTCCGAAATTAAATCCGGAACTATATAAACTTTGATCTCAACAAACTTACAATCAAAATGAACGTCACGAAAATGCGAACCCAACGACACCAAATTCGACCCAATCTGACCCGAAACACCTTTGGAAAGTTCAAAACATAAATTGGATGACTAAATGTTTTCCAAACGTGATATTCTTATAGTCGAATCGAGTGGCTCGATGAGGCGAATCCAACAAGCCCAAGATCGTAGAATACTGATATCAATAAGACAGTCAAATGTCCAATAAATTGTCCACAGTTGCCGAATTTTCGCTCGACCACCAAAAGCCGTTGTATTTCTGTCTGATCTCCGTTCGTCACTATATGTCAACCCGACAGTTGACTGCTGCAATCTGATCGTCCTCAATTTCAAGGAAAAATTAGTCATTTGTAATCTATTCAAACACTAATTGAATTATTTCAACTAGGCGTGACCCTTTGGTTTTTCCCGTCAGGATTTTCCACGTAATAAAATTTAGTGTTTCTTTTTCTCTGTTTGTGTGTTGGATACTCGTGCAACGTTAAGACATGAAGTTTTTCATACTTTATCGCCACGAATATTCTAGCCCGCAACAAATATAATCCTTATGCAATCGTTGCACGCTATCCTACAAAGCATCTTGGACTGGTTTAATAGAATTTTGAACATGCGGATTTAGCATCATCTAACCTTCGATGATCCAATTGTCACATTATATCCCCTGGTACTTATATCATTATATTTTCTCTTCAATGACAACAATATAGATTCAAATCTATCCCTAGGGTGTCAAAATCGGGTTTCGGGTCGGGTTCCGGGTTCAAAATCGGGTTTCGGGGCGGGTTCGGGTTGAACCCGGAACTGACCCGGGTTCAAACGGGTCAACCCTAACCCGACTTGGGTAGGTAAACGGTACAAAAATTTGAGCCCGGACCCGACCCAACAGGTTGTCGGGTTGAGTATAGACATGGTGGGAATTACAAAATTCAATATATACATGTTTGTTTAGTTGGAAGGGTCATAGTTAGCACGAGATAGGGGTCCGAAAGATCGTAGTTAGGGGAAGACTGGGATCAAAAAGACCGTAGTAGTAGGGCAATACTCCGGTAGAAGTTCGGGCGTCAGGTGATGGTCTAGCAGAAGTCCGGGCATCAGGTGGTGGTCCGACAGAAGTTCGGGCTTCAGGTGATGGTTTGGCAGAAGTCCGGTCAGGTGGTGGCCCGGTAGAAGTTCGGGCTTCAGGTGGTGGCCCGACAGAAGTTTAGGCATCAGGTGGTGGTCCGGTAGAAGTCTGTGCCTCAGGTGGTGGTCCAGCAGAAGTCCGTGCCTCATGTGGTGATCTGGTAGAAGTCCGGGCATTCCGGTAGAAGTTCGGGCCTCAAATGGTGGTCCGGCAGAGGTGAGGGTCTCAAGTGGTGGTTCGGCGAGGCAATGACGTCAGAAGGTGGTCCGGCGGAAGTACGGGCCTTAGGCAGTGGTCCAGCAGAAGTCCGAGCCTCAAGTGGTGGTCCGGCAGAGCAACGACGTCAGGTAGTGTGGTCCGGTGGAACTCAGACAGTGGTTGAGGAGGAGCTTATTCCTTCTTTTCCTTCTCTTCTTCATTCTTTTCTCTTCTTTCTTGAGATCCCCCCTTTCAAGAGAAATGAGGGGGTCTATTTATAGATTTTTGGAGTGGTATGACCCATAAATATGTGAGAGATCAAGGGTAAATAGGGAGTTGTTGGATGGACGGCCGATGTTGAATCCCTTGATTATGAACCGTTTGTCAGACATTTGAAGGTTTTTGTATGTCGGAATTTTGCGATCTTATGCTCGTTGGATTTGTCTCGTCAAGACGCTCGATTCGACTATAAGCACGTACTGTTTGGTAATCCAAATTGTGATTCAAACCTTCCAATAGTGCTTCGGGTCCATGATTTGGACTCATTTGGGCTCGGATTGAGTTGAATTTTGTGTCATTGGGTTCGTATTTTCAAGATGCTTAGTTCAACTGTAAGTTTGCTAAAATTAGAGTTTGAATTATTCCAATTTTAATTTTGGAAGTTTCTAACTTGATTTTGCATCGAGATTCGTGCCTGATCAAGATAATTTCTTGAGAATGTAACAAGTCTAATTGCATGTCAATCATATCCTCAATCTGATAAATCATATGTCATTTTAGTCATTTTTATATCATAAGTCATTACTATATTTATCTTATTATTATACAATATTTATCATATCATGAATGTTATCATGTATGAACATTCGTATAAGTTCAATAAGGTATGACATCTAACTTTAATATGATATTTTTAACATCTTTAACCTAGCCTATCGACCAATTGATGATCAATCTTTAATTTAACCCCAACTGTTGATCAATTGGTAATTAGTCTTTATCTTAACATCATCATTCATAGATATTAATTCAATGCATAGGTGGCTTTCAGTAAATCATTAAGAGTTGTGACTCTCTACCCATTTATGTAATCTGTTACAGGCTAGCTTCCAAGATTATGTCACGAACTTTTATTTTAAGGAAAAATCGTCATCCCACCCTCCTCTATTGGGCATTATTATTTTAAGAATCAATCTATATTAGTTATAGTGTTAACAACCAATCTTCCTTGCTTACAAACAAATATAATATTTATCATATATCAATCATATCATTACTATATGCATCAATCATATTATTTTCTCTATGCAGAAATATCTTATATAAAATACAAAAAAATTGTACAATACATGCATGCTTTTCACTTTCTTAAAAAAATCAAAATTATCAATTTACCTAATGAAATTTTCATATAAGTCGGTCAAAATATTCATAATTATGATATCTATCCCATACCAAAAATTATTTGATGAAAGTTCACTAAAATGAGAGATGTTACATTTTTATTACTTTTAGGACTTAGGAGAGAGAAAATATGTCAAACTCAAAATCATTGAAAAACATATGAAGAGTAAATGTTACTTACTATTATCAGAATAACTTTTTTAATAGGCATGATGGATGACTAAGCTCTGAAGGACCTTCTTTATCTTCTCTCTCTCTCTCTCATTTCCTTTGCTCCCTTCTCTTCTCCTCCTTTTTTTCCCTTCCCCGCATATGGGCAACCCGTCTAAATAGACCCTTGACCATATCCAGTATATGCGCAATTCATCATCTTATGC